GGATGTTGTGTTAATACTATTGATCAGTGCAAGTGGCTTGGCTGTTATCCCACATTTCCGATGTTGACCCCTGTATTTTATTGTTATATTACTAATAATATCGATCCGTTCTCGTTCAAAAGTGGTTTGCTCAAAACATTAGTTCAATTTTTATTCTCACAAAATAACCACACTTGTGTTTGGATACAACGATAATTAATATGGCATAATTCACAATAATCAATATACTTGACAGTGTACTTGGTATCATCGTAAATAAAACCTTAAACTGATAAATATTTTCATCCATAAGATAAAACTGAAATAAACTTAAATTTGACTGTCCTATTTATGAAAGAAGGTTTCAGCTGGTGTGATATCAAATTTTATTTAAATGATAAGAATCACTCTGTTATGTCAATACGTGCAATAGTGAGCCAGGGACCGTTCATATGAAACGTCAGCAGCAAGGCCTAGGACTGGTTGAAAATGGGAAAAACTTATTGCAACAAAGCTTAAGAGGGCTCTTGAACCGGTAAAATATTGCTGACGTAAGATATTAACGGTCCCTTTTTAGCGAACCGCTGAATTCAGATTATCCTCAGCATAAAATTCAGCGGGTGATCAACGGTAATTGTGCTACAGCTTTAAACAATTTAAGCACTTAGACATTACTCTCAGCAGTACAAAGTGAAAAAGTTAATAATACGCTTTTCGTGCATAAATAGTAAGTAAATCCTTTCCTCGGCTGGAATGTTGGAGTGGAACTCTCTGGAATAGCAAACTTGAGGCCCATACAAAATTGTACAAATTCTATTTGGCATTTAAATCAAAAATCATTGCCAAATCAAGACTGTTCAGGGTGTATCAAGTATGAACTTTTAATGAGAGACCGTTCACATATTATTACGAAACCATCTTTCCGCTTCCTCTTTCTTATCACTTTTACATGTATAGAAATAACTAAGTTATGCAGAAACTATTCTGCAGAAACCCTCTCCCTCTCATTGATTACGTAATACGTGAACGACCCCTGAACTTAAATGGAGCAAATTACATTCTCAGGTGCGCATGACATTTAAAACTTCAAACCAGCGCGCATCCATCTAGCATTAAAATGTAAAAACTGAAATTAACAAATAAGTACATAAGAACTGTTTTTAAATCTCGTGATATTTCGGTCCCGCATGAACAATGATATCAGAGAAAGGCTCTGATTGGGTAACATTGATTGTCTCGCCTTTCTTCAGCAGCAATATACTGTAAAACTTGCTGGCGGCTTGTTTTCGGTTATTGTCCTCTGCAAAACTGAAGAAATTGACTTGTCCCTTGGCATCCAGATCACGACGCAACATATTGAGAACAGCGTGTGTTCTCTTATTCCATCTCCTGTTGTCGAAATCTTCGAACGTTTCTCCCTCTTTCTCCTCGACGTCTGACAGATCGTCGCTTGTCTTCTGTTTTTTGGGTGGCTGCTCGTCGTCAGATGAACTGTCGTCGTTGCCGAAGTTAAAGTCGAAGAGATCGTCACCGCCCGCGTCGTCGTCTGAGGACGATGCGTGGTGGGATCTAGTGGGTGATTCTGGTGCTTTTGCTTTGGTGGGGGATGATTCTTTAACGGGTGATTTGGACTGTTTGACTTCTGTAACCTCCTCTGGGTCATCATCGTGTACGGATACAATGTCGTCTTCTTCATCTTCTTCGTTGGGGAAGTTGAGAGTGAGGTTGTGGGTGAGGAGTTTGTTGAGTTGCATACCCAGACCAGGTCTGCCAGGTGTGGAGAAGAGCTTGTCAACTCCGGCAGTTGCTTTCCAGTGCATAGACTTCCGGGAGGGTGGGGCGAAAGATGGTGCTTGCACGATGTCGTTGGTGCTATCTAACTCTCGTCTGATAAAATCTGAACTCAGCTGTTTCTCCTGATCAATAACAAGCTTTCTCTTCTTCCTGGTTCTGGTGTAATCGCTGGTGTCCATGATTGGCTCCAACAAGAACTCATCGTCAGCCACAGCCATGGGCTCGTGAACCTCCTTTCCCCCCAGATGTCTGGTAATGTAGTGCCCAGTAGGAGTTTCACCCTTGGGTGTCATTCCCATATGTTGGGGGGTCATGCTGCCAGGATATCTGGACTGGTGGGGGGAGGCAGGTGTCATGCCCATGTGACGTGGTGTCATCATACTGTGGTGAGGAGTTAGACCAGAAGAGTACTGTTTAGGTTCTTCTGCAGTCTCCAGCTGCGAGTAGTCGCCGGAGTTGAAGTTTAGGGAGGGGTCCAGAAATTCGCCGCCAAGATCCGACATTTCAGGCATGTTGAGCATGTCACCTCCAGCTCTGATAGGTGTGTCCTGCAATAAAGAATTATATTTAGACTACCTTCAGATTTGAGATTTCATTCACAAAGTAAACTCAAATGACGGAAATAGAGAACTATGAACAACTAAATGAACAAATCTAATTTGGCGAAACTGTTGATAAAATCCCTTACCCTGATAGTAGTTTCGTCTCCGACAGTAGAGTCCTGAAGTGTGCTCTTCTCTGCTCTATCAGTTACCACACTCTCCTCTCGCATCTGGTCCAGCTGAGCTTCTTTTCTTGCCAGCTCAGGATCCTCTAAACCCATGCTGAACTCCATGTTTCCCAAATTACCAGGTTCTTCGAAATCACCCAGAGTAAAAACTCTGTTCTGTGAAAGGTCCTCACGCATGGTTATGTCCTCGAGTCTGCCTTGATTGTGTCCAAACTGTGCTGTCATATCCAAACCTCTGAAATAAAATGTTACCATGAGCAATTTGACACACCCTAGACTTTTAAAAGTACACTGTAAACAGTCAAGACAGTACATGTTACATTTATCTTCAGCGCGGTGTACTGAAGTTGATTAGCCCGAATCCCCCCAAAACTCAAACTCGCGCGCACACGAAACGCGCATACAAAATGCTGACATTAAAAACTTAATACATTTGGAGCAAGAATTTGAATGCCTAAATTTGGTGCTTTAATCTGTCGTACACTCACAGCGCGATACATTTTTCGCATGTAAACATTGTCGTCCAAGAATCACAACTTACCCAAAGTCCATGAGTGTGGAGTCGAAATCGTGAAAAACTTCCGGAAGGGTGACAGCATGCATTGGGGCCTCTCTATTCTCCTCTGGCATGTCAACAATACCCGGCCTGAATGCCATCTTAATTTTGACGAACGCTTCAGAACAATCGGTCAGCAGATATTTGGCTTTTCTGGAGTAGATCCTGACAACTCCCAGTAACAGGTGACCTGAAATGATCGATTTTTAGCGATGTTGAAAAAAACCCACGTTCATTTTAGATATTCTGTATTCGAGATCAATGAGCCGAACTGGCCAACTAAGTTATACACGGAGAATTGAGATATCTCGCAAGATAGGACTACATATTGCAAACAAAAGTTTTACAAACCAGTGGTTCTGAGTGCAAGTTTCTGTTTTGGAGAGATAATCTCTCCTATACTCTCTGCAATATTCGTCTCATAAACATGAGCTTTGGTTAGCTTCTTGTCCCAATGCGCTGCGAGCCATACACGCGTCAATGCGCTTTTCTTCGCGAGGAAGACATTTGCGTAAAACATCGTCCGATCCCAATCTTACTGTATCCGTGTCAAACTGTTACCATACACCTTTACTGAACATCGAGAATTAATAAATTGGAATATTATATAAATGATAGTTTTTAAAGAGTTCATTAAATAGTATGCAATCGCGAAAAACTCATGTCATATTCGGAATAATTGATGTTTATATTATGTCATGACAGTAGTTGTAAATGTAATGAAACTCTTAGCGCATACTTTTATCAAACTATATCTCTCAATCCATCAAATATCAACAATAGTATAATCCCCAATATACAAAACAACTTCTGAAATGTTAAGAAAGGTTTGAAAGCTTTGAAACTGTGTAAAAACATCTATTAAATAGTTCAAATAACGAACATTTTTATTTCAACTAATCTGTGGAATATTTAGGATTCCTGTATGGACTATAAGTGTAATATTTAGGGTTAGAATCTAGCCGAACATGTAAATAATATACCCCTGCACCACTAGTGCTGAGCCACACTGTGTCATCACTCTTATCTAACCAGCGCTTTACTTCTTGCGCCGCTGTGCGCAACAACTCGTGTATTTGGTCTTGCGGAGCACTGCGCAGGAAGGATGCAAGATGAGCGTTGTTTGCCTTGTCGGATATCAAACAAGGAGCAACAAGGGTCGCATCCCCTCCCAGATTGGGGAAAGTGGTGACGGTGCAGTCTGGCTTGAAGTATGATTGGAATGTTGTCTTGTCAACCGACACTCTGCTGAGACTTCTGGCATTGTTCACGATAAACTCGAAGCTGGGATCAGTTTTCTTAGACAGAGGGGGAAATTCCCAAAAGACCGCTGCATAGTTTTGTTTAGCAATCGTGTCCACTATCAGAGTTCTGAATTCTTTAGATTCTTTCAGAAGTTTTAAACCGTCTTTGTAGGACAATTTCTCGTCTTTTCTGAAGAATTTGAACATTTTCCCACCGGAGAGAGCATTTTGTTGGACTGATATTGAGCTGTTATTTTCCACCATTTCAGATGAAACTCTGGTACCCCGCGTGTTGCTTGCAAGTGCGAGTAAACCTAATACCAGGGCAAGTGAAATGAAACATTTGAGGACAAAACCAGTCCCTATGTTAGACTTTAACCGAGTCAGAATCATGTCCATCTTCCATTCTACGTGTAGTTTAGCGTGTGAAATTAAACTCGAATTATAGTAAGAAACAATTGAAATAATCAATAAACTAGAAACCAAATCAAACTTTTACAAACTACACAAATTATATAAGAACCAAACAAAAATTTACAGATCAAAATAATTTATCTGGTAAGTTTTTCATATAAATTCCCAAACTTCAACCCTAAAACCAGTACAGGATAAAATAAATGTAATAAGATTTAAAAATTTCAATCTTTTCTACTCCCAAAACTTTTACAAACTGGCACCAAAATCCAAATAGGATGTACTATAACTTGTCCTTGTGTTCTCGAACACAAGTAACACTACAATACTTATATTTCAATCTCTCAAACGGAACCAAGCCGTCTAATCCTGTCTCACAATTATCACATTTTCCTGAAACACAACCCCGTCCCCCTTCTGATGCTAAGCGCGCTTCTGCCGCCAATAAACAGCGCTCACGAGGCGTCAACTGGCGCAATCTCAACCTCTGGGCCTCTGCTATCAGCTTATCTTCCTCTTTTTTAGCAGCTTCTTTCTTGGCAGCTTTCTTTTCTTTGTCACGTTGATTCTTGGCTGCTCGTTGAGCTTTCTTTTTCTCTGCCTTCTTTCTTGCTTGTTCCTCCTCCAGTTCGGAAGTTAGAGGGGACGGTATTTTGGCAGATTTGTAGTCCCATTTGTCAGGGAAAAGAGCCATGAACCTCCTAAACTCATCCCTTACTTCCTTATCTCCAGCAACTTGGAACGGTGTTTTCCTACTGTCATTCTTAAGCTCTGGGTTAGCTCCTCGGTGTAACAGCTGTTTTACAAAGTTAGGGTCGTTTACACTTGCACACTTGTGTAGTAAGCTGTTGCTGCTGTCTAGAGGTTTGTCTACGTTAACTTCTGAGACTAACAAGGAGGTAAACAGCTCCTGATTTTGGGATTTTACTGCTGCTAAAATTTTGAAGTAAAGGTTGTCAGGATCTTCGTAAAAGTCAGGCTCAATTTCACACAGTTCCACTGGAGTTTCAACTGGTTTTAACTTCTCTGGTCTCTGTTTGAGATGGGAATTTGGTATTGATTTGGGATTTACTGGTTTAGTTTGATGAGATTCAGGAATTTTGGAATTTGAATCAAGTTCTGAGGATTCCTTCTTTGATTCTACAACATCATTAAACTCTTTTTCAAACACTTTGTTTATTTTTGTTAAAAGCTTATAAACCCGCTCTGTTTCTTTCAAAGTAGGTCTATAAGTTGTAAATGGTATCGTCCTGATTTTATCTTTCTTGTTGTCAATCTTTTCTTTTACCTTCTCAAACACGTGCCTATTATAAACAGCAGTCCGGTGAAAAATAACATTGCACCCATTCAACGTCTCGGACCATTCAAGCATAAGCTTTTCGATATCATTAAATAAGGCTATCTGATTGTACCTTCTTAGTGACGCACCGTATGATTTAGGAGCATTCCCTTTCCCGTCTCTTATCCCTTGAACTGTTCCTTGTTTTGCTCGCACAGTGTACCTGTGGTAAGTTTTATGAAGGAGCAGCTTTTCGTTCTCGTAAACTGCACCTGCGAAGTGTTGCGCGCTGTAAAGGAACACAGCAATCCGGCCCTTATACTCCAACCCGCTTTTAGGATTATCAGCTGTGGTTTTACTCACTGTTTCAGATAGGATCTGATCAGTTATTTCAGATTTATTGCTGAAAAGTAAGCTGGACAAGCACTTAAAGAAAGAGCCCTGAAACTTGAAGATAACATGAGGGCTACAAACAACAGCATCAGCCAACTCAGAAGAATCTTCTAAAAGCTGACTAGTCACCATGTCTTCAACCCCACTATCAGTATCATCCTCAGAGTCACTGCCAGATAAACTGGAGAGGTCCCCCTCGCACCGCGTGTCAAACTCCTCCTCTGCTATAGCAGACATGTTGCGGAGCTTCTGTTTTACGTTGTAGAGATGCCAGTCTAGTTTGTAGTGTAGTACTTGATCTGATCTGTCCTGGAATTTGTAGCTGCATGTTCGACATACACTTTCGGGAACTGGACCTGAACTGGACATGCCTGGGGTTTGGTGGATTTATGGAGAAGGTTTTCAAACGTTTAGGGTTGAAATTTATGCGCTCAAAATATTTTCAATCATCAAATAACGACATAAACACAAAATGGTGAGTTATTGCTGTAATTTTATTAGATTATCATTTTTAATATTACACGAGTAAAACAATGATTATAAATAAATAAAATGTTCAATGATAATTTAACAAGGTGAGATAGCTGAGATAAGTTATTAACTATAAAACCAATAAATGGCTGCAGTACCACAGCTACAGGTCATCAAGACACGTGGTAAAATCTTCATGAAAATATATTTAAATATTATAAAATTAGATGTAAATTTCACTCCAAACGGCAAAGAATAAAACTTATTTTTTCAAAATCAAATCAATCACGGACTAGGCTCAGCCCAAGTCATATGGGCTAAAATTTGTAAATATCACGTTCAGTGCAATCGAAAAGAAAAAGCCATGCATCTTTACCACTGAGCGGCTGCTCCGTCAAACGAGTTCCTGGCCCGTTTATTATCGCCTCCCTCTTCCTGTTGTGACAGCTTGATCTCGTTTCCTTGTATCTTACCGTTGTTTAGCACCATACATGCTGCTTCTGCTGACTCCTTCATTCCGTATCTTATATAACCGTATGACGTACCCTGAATAAACTCAGTTAATTTGGGTAAACTTCTCTCCAGAACAAGTGTTTATTCGGCCACATTACTTCATAATGTTAGAGCACACTGGAGGAAATAATTAGTTTTTTAGAAGACGATGGCGAGTGTAATATGAAGTTACAACAGATATATAATATGGAAAGATATATATAATATGGAAAGATAATTAACCTCATTTACCAAACATATACTATACTAACTGTAATTTACATAATATTCAACAGATTATAATCATGGATCTGGAGACACTTTGACAGTTTGACTGGGTTTGTCCAGTCAAATAATCTCTATTTCTCATTATGATTATACATTACATAATTATACATGTATATACATTCGACAGTCAGAATGAACAAAAACTAAACTATTTTGTGAGCAGTTACCCACCGGAATGAGCTTAATTTCGATGAGAGAAGCAAAGCGACAGAAAACGTCTTTAAGAGCTATCTCGTCAGGTATAGTGGGTGTGGCTACTAGGAAGAGTTTAGCTCTGCAGGCGGTTCCTGGAGCTGCCATTGGGAGAGGGTTTGGTAGAGATGTGTCTGTGTAGGGACACTCTGAGGAGCGAGGGGGGTTTTAAATGTTAATAATACTGCAGGTTGAGATTTAACTAGCTTGGGCGAAAAACTTGGGCAATTAATATTTTACTGGACACTGAAAATTCATCTTCATATTCCTTTCTAATTTGAATCGTATAAGAATTTCTTTGCACCCGTAAGTAATATTTAAATAATGGAGTTAACAAAGTACAAACCGTTTCCTCTGTTGGTGGGAACTTGTTGAGCAGGCATAGTGGGGGGTGCTGAGTACCGGGGTGCCATCATGCTCACATTGCGCTGCACTGCGTTTGCGGAGTTCCATGCATCCGTGTCCATTCTCATTCCTGAACTTCCCTGGTAATGATTTAAAGAGTTAGTGTGGAGAATCGTTTCAAATTCAATGAAATTCTATGATTCATAGCTCGAAAACTGGTCATTTGTTCATGTAAATATAGGCAAGGTAACTTGAAATATAATAGCGACATGATGAGAATTGGTGGACACAGAGTATCATGTAATACTGCCAGCCCTACTAGTTAGTCCGTTACTACATCCCCCCGCCCCCCCCCCCCCCCCGTTACTACATCCCCCCTCCCCCCCGTTACTGCCCCCCCCCTGTTACTGCCCCTCCCCCCCCGTTACTACATCCCCCCTCCCCCCCCCCCGTTACTACATCCCCCCTCCCCCCCGTTACTGCCCCCCCCCCCTGTTACTACCCCCCCCCCCCCCCTGTTACTGCCCCTCCCCCCCCCCCCCCCCGTTACTACATCCCCCCTCCCCCCCCCCCCCCCCCGTTACTACATCCCCCTCCCTCCCGTTACTACATCCCCCCTCCCCCCGTTACTGCCCCCCCCCCCCTGTTACTGCCCCTCCCCCCCCCGTTACTACATCCCCCCTCCCCCCCCCCCATTACTACATCCCCCCTCCCCCCCGTTACTGCCCCCCCCCCCCCTGTTACTGCCCCCCCCCCCCCCTGTTACTGCCCCTCCCCCCGTTACTACATCCCCCCTCCCCCCCGTTACTACATCCCCCCTCCCCCCCGTTACTACATCCCCCCTCCCCCCCGTTACTGCCCCCCCCCCTGTTACTACCCCCCCCCCCCCCTGTTACTGCCCCCCTCTGTTACCTCATACTCTCATACCTGTCGCTCTCTGTTTCCTCCCGCTCCAGCTGGTCGGTCCTCAGCGTACTTCACAATCAGCTTGTGTCCTGGCGGATACTCTAACCCGTCCAACTTGCGCTTAGCGTAACACGCTAACTCAATTGTTCGGTAACCTGCGTATGCGAACCCCCGCGATTCTGTGCTTCCTCGGTAGTGCTTTAGCTCGAATGATTCCAATCCAGGAATTAGGTCAAACAAACTGGAAGAGAGAACATTTTATTAGCATCTGAGAATTATGAAATAGTTTTCCAAAATTTGGTTGTCACTATAAATCTAAGAACTGGCCTATGAAAGACAATTTGTTTTGTCACTATTATTAATAAGTTAGTCATACTTTTCCTTTGAGTATGCTGTATTAAGCAAGTCAACAATCGCAATGACATAATCAATTCAATAGCGGATGGCTTGTCAATTCTTCTAGATGCTCTGTCATTTCTTAAGTTTAATTGTCATAACACATCAGAGAAGTCGTTTCTCGGGTCAAGTGATATGAATCCTTGTGTCACGTGATTGGTTACCTATACAGTTGTTCTTCGTATAAACTGGTGTGACATACAATGTACAGTCGTTGCATGGCACCCGGATCAGTCAGGTCTGTAAAACCTGTAACAATCGGAATATTGTCAATTTGTCACATGTTGACATAATTGGTAGATCCTCCAGGTCTGGTCTAGGTTTTAATGATGATGAATAGAAGAACTCTTTCAAAAACATGACACACTTGCACTTACATCTGTCTATGCAATTAACACTCTGTCCTTGAAATTACGAAATTAAACATTAAATGATAAACTTACTAATTGTTTCTGGTTGTGTTTGGTTTTGGTGATCAGCTGGAGCAACATAAGGTGCACTACTGTAGGTGCTCCGTCTAGAGTGATCAAGGTGACGTGAAGAGGAATTATCTCTTGAATTATCGCTTGAGAAACCTCCTGAATTGGAGAGCACAGTAGTGATCGCAAATAAATTGAACAGAGGAATAAATAGGGTTCATGAGGAGCTTGAATAGCCCGACAGAAGTAAACTTCATGTGATAAATCGTTACATAAATCGTTACAGAAATGAAACCTACCAGTTCTTGCATCCCGAGGAACACGGGGTTCAGCAATCACTGCTCTGTATTTCTCGTCACAATCTTCAAGAGCACTGAAAGCTGAGGAGGGCTTCACAAACTTCACATAGGCACAACCCTGCATAGTGCATACTTGTTAAACCAGCGAATTTTTTAAAGCCCTTTAAAAGTAAAAGATATCAAACTGAATCTATGATCGAACTTTGAAAATTTTTGTTTCCAGTGAACTATTTGTGTGTTGGCAGAATGTTTTTAAAAAATAAATTACCTTGGATTCTCCAGATGATCTATCAGTGAGTATTTGAACATGATCAACAGATCCAAACTTGGTGAACTCTTCCTCAACCTCGCTCGATGACATTGTCTTGGGAACTAAGATGAATATCCGGGATCGTGGCTTCGCTTCCCCTGACACTGAACGGCTTTGGCCCTTGTTGTCAGCCAGAAGTACCTGGAAATTGAATGTCAAAGGAATTAAATTTGAGCTGGCCTTGAAAAAAAATTATCAAAAAAATGTTCAGAAAAATATAGACAATATTAAAATCCAAGAATTACAAAACTCAATGACAATGATGCCATTTAATAGTACCATTTGTTAAGACACACGCATTTACCTTTAATGGTTTTGAATCCCCTCCGATAGTTTCTCCATGGAGTTTTTCCATGGCAATGTGAGCTTCCGATGCTTTCTCAAATTTGATGTAAGCTATCCCTTTCCTTTCTTGGGTGTTTCTATCTGTCACAACCCAAACATCTTGAAGCTGAAAAAGTTTTAAAATTAATGTAAGTCTAAGTTTTTTGACACACTAGCAAGATGGATGTTTTATATTGTCTGAATATTGATAACCCCTTCTTTGACACTGTCCCTCTCAATCAAATGTTTACAATTAGGGGATTGCCGATTTAATTACAGTGGTTCTGTTATCAGTAGGGTTAAGATATGGGCAAATACATATTATGTACTAGGTATGATCAACTATTGTGTGCACACGTGTGTCTGTACTTACTTTTCCATAGCTTCCAAAGGCTTCTTTAATATCGTCATCAGTGTGGTTTTTAGAGCAAACAACAAACAGTCTAGAAAAAGGTGGATTGTCGTGATCCACCTTAGTCTTTCTTTCTTCACTTGACATGACTTATATAAGCTAAGAATATTTGATTTAGAATAAAACAAGAAAATACACTCAAATACACTCAAATACAGGCAAGAAAAATATTTTTCAAATGTAAGCTTAACAGGTTATTTGAGAGGTTTCAGATACTAGGAATTGGGATAATGTGAACCTCTCTATACCAGTTTTTTGTAAACTGCATCATGCACTTTTTGGTTCCCCCAATGAGCCGGCCTGGTAGAAAGGGTCACTCAACAAGCCACGAACTGAACCGAAAAAAAATGTTTATAATATAGCTAACAATATTCTTTCATCTATTTCTAGATACATGAAATTTAATCTACTACACATTAACGCTAAAAAGAGCTGAACAGCTCTTTTTAGCATTAATGTGTAGTAGATTAAATTTCATGTATCTAGAAATAGATGATACATTATATGTATTTCTCCCCAAACAAACGTGAAAATGGAAAACGTGTGCAGTTGATGATTTAAACCTCTCCATAGACGGCTCCATAATTATAGTCCTGGAAATATTGACCTCTTATTTGGGCAATAGCTGGACACTGTCCTAGAAAGTGTGAGACAGTCTCCTCTCTTTTACCACACACAGGACAGGCACTGGTGTTGGATTTGCGAATGGTATGGAGGTGTTTGTTTAAGCCGCAATGTCCCGTGATGAGTTTTTGTTTTTTTATTAGCATAGAGAGGTTTGAATGTTGTCTCAAGTAGGCCTGAAAAAGACCAATTTTAAGTTACCAATCACATATCCTGTTCAGATTTTGATATGTAATGGGTCTTCAACTTGTATAGTATGATAAGTTCAAATGAAAATATTCAGATCAATATACCATTACATTTTTTTAATTTCTAATACATTCACAAGAAAACAACAAATTTTTCAAGAAAACAACACATTTTTATTTAAATCAATTATAGCAACAATTTGATAAACTTTAAAGGATGAGGGGACCTTAGAAAAAGTTTTTTTCTCGTGCAAATCCTTTTATTACATTAATCGTATAAACCACTTTAGTGAAATCCGCAAAGTTGTATTTCATTCGCGCGCCGAGATATCCAGCCAAAACAATTTGAACCTGTGACGTCAATAATGTGAGTTGCTCTGATCCGCGCATATAGAAATACAGGTAAAATGAGCGTGCGGGCCAACTAAATTACTAATTAAGAATACATTAACAATTTACGATACTAACGAGCCTATAACCAATGGAGAGGAGACTTTTTATGACCGGTTGAAAAAAGAATTATCACCCTACGATAACCATGAGCCGAGATACACCTGAAATAAGATTGAAGTCACACAGAAAGGCATGTAAATTATGTATATTTATAGCTCCCAACGTAACACCTAGCAACTCCCTGTATCGTACCACAGTTGATATATCAACATGTCATATCAACACAACACGGTCCTTATAAAAATGGATCGGGTAGGTATGAAATGCATGTCTTCATTCCAGTTGGACAAGCACCAAGCTTTTAAGTTCTAACTCACTATGTGACACTACTTATAACGTAAGCAAGATTTGCAACTATCACACCAAGCAATATTATACCAAGCATAGCAGACGGACACATCCACATTCGTTACGCTTTACACTCAGCAAACTAAAAACGGTAAATTATAAATGAGTGTACAACTAAAGGCCGGTACACGCCGCATTGTCAAACCGCACGTGCGCACTCAGATAGGACTAGAGGCGCCAAGGGCCAGCTAGTAAAATGTCTTCTACTACATCATACATTCAATCGATTTTTAGATCTTTATTCTTGTATGAAGAAATATGCCGATTTTTAATTGTGTCCATATCGGGTTTCAAACAAGTCAAAATAAAATAGCAGTTTGTGGTTTAGTTAGCGGATGCTACTTATCTTAGCTATTTATAAATAGAAATACCTACTACAACTACAAGAAAGCCTTTCTGAGTTACATTTAACTATTAAGGAGAATTATTCGCAACTTAGATCTTGACTAATTCAGTGCAACCAAAGATACCGCTCTCGCAAACGCCAAAGGTAACACGACGTAATTAAAACAGCACAGAACAAAATGCTGACACAAGCGAAGGGTGCGCGCGCACGTTGGTCTTAACACATAAGTGACGTCACAGCCCAAAATTGCTATCAGCCAATAGGAGCGCGGCATGATATTGCACGAATTATCGATTTCACAGTCCGGCGTATTTTCTGATTCTACACACTTTCACAGGACTTAAACGCGAATATTTGGAAGTAAATTCTAAGGTCCCCTCATCCTTTAAAGTTCTTCTATTACCATGGAATATACTACGGGTATGGTGACTTGGGCTATTGAGTTGTTAAGTAGATTAAGATTAGTAAACATGCACTTGCATTGTATTTATAAAAACTAGAAATTAGGCATCACGGTAAAATGAAGAAGCAGGCTGATCTTGGAGAGAGCAAACCGTAAAGTTTACGCACCCACCAGGGCTACCTACCTACCCCAGTTGTTCTTTTTGGTTTATCAGCTTGTATTGTTATATTTATGGACCCCAAGTCAACACACTAAGAAGAAGTATGTAAAAAAGAGACTAAAGTGCAAAGAAACTGCTGCTAACTGCTGCTGACTGCTGCTAACTGCTGCTAACTGCTTGTGAATTATTTACCATTGTGATCTATTATTTAATTTCAACAGGAGTTCGTTCAACTGAATAAAAATGGCGTTTTAGCTACTCTGCACCTGAATCATGATCATGGAATCCTCTCCCTCTTGATGTCTGTAACATCGATAATATTATGGCTAGGCTATTGTTAGTCAGTTAGTGGCTAAGTCTTTTAAAGGCTTGTGTTTACTGTATATTTCAGAAAAATAGAACTAGTCACATAACAACGCTATTCCACAGTAATATAAAATTTAATACCATATAATACGAGCTAAGTTGCTCAGTTTATGTAACAAACGTAACATGTGAGGTGTTCTACCCTCCCGTGTGTGTATACCTTACTCGGGATTATTACGACGGGTTTATTAACGACCGGTTAAAATATGGTTCGGGAAAAATATGGCGAAATTGCTCAAAACCCACCACATTTTCCCGGTCGCCATTTTACCGGTGTCCAACCTTTCAATTTTAGATTCAAAAATTTTGTCTCAGATGTAAATTTCCTTATTAGAGATAAGCAAGTTTAGAAATTTTCGCATTGCTAAAACTTGTGAAACAAGTCGAATTATCAATAATTGTTGAAAGTAGACAGAAATAATGACTCGTGGTTAATCAAACTAGATGGAAAATAATTTTTAACATTTGAAGCGTAACAACCAGATCGATATTAAGATAAAGGGAGAGCTGTTTAGTCTTCCAATAAGTTGTAATCATCTTCGTTATCTTCATCTGGATCATCCCTTTCATCAGTTTTAATTAATTCAAGTTTTAATTTAACTGTTACTTTTACTTTGAGTCCTATTTCATTATGTAGAGATAGTCAATACCTAAGAAATTAAAAATTGGCCTATTTAAATCAACTTTGACAATAAGGATATATGACAAGAATTGGGCAAAAAGGTGAATTTTTTGCAATTTTAGCCAAATGAAGTCGAAAAACCTACAACAAGTGTCCCAATAGTCTTTTTTAGTGAATATAAGACAACGATTAAAATATGAGCACCCATACCCCTTGGGAACCCTAAAAGCTGAGTAGGCGGGTTTATTAACGACCGGTGAAAATGTGGTTCGGGAAAAATATGGCGAAATTACCCTAAACCCACCACTTTATCCCGGTCATGATAATCCCGAGTAAGGTAACAACAGAGCAGTAAACACGTGCTCTTGATAACGATAAGTAAAGGTTAGTCAGGTCAAACTCCTCACTAGTTTGCCCCCACATTCTGCACACTACTATTACAGCTGGCCACTGAGCAGAATAACTATCTCCACTGTGACACACTGCAATCTTACTATCAGTGTTATTACATCTCATATTAACACTGTCCATAACTAGTGACATAACATCACTACTAGTGACAGTAACTATACCAGAATAATTTAATCCATCTGTAGCACACAATCTATCAAGCTCAATATCAAATACATGTTTAATACTATCAACATTGTAATCATTAAAAACATGTATAACAGTCAATGGACCGTGTATAAAATGTCCTTGTACTTGTGTAGGTAAAATCATATCTGATACATCAGGTATTCTTCGATATAATTCTCTTAATTGATCACGTATCACACATGAGATGTTAGATAAATCACACGTATTTCTAAGGCTCATTGATAAACGTACCAACTGAGTGGATGATAGTTTGTCAGTTATCATTCTTAGTTTGTCAATTAATTCTTGTTTGCTCAAACTCCAATAACTCTGCACCATGTCACATGCAACCATGACAGTGCACTCTAAAGATAACAACTTGTATCTGGGTATCTGACCCATAAGTCAGAACTCTTCCGGTGGGTTGTCTTTATTGTTTTCTGTTGGAGTCTCGACTGTCTTACAAGTTTACAATCCTTACACAGCAACCCCTGACCTACTAAACTTAGCTATGCCTGATTCTCCTATATCATCTATAACTTTCTCTCCCCAGAACACAGAGGGTACAAGGACCTACATAGCTGCTCCCAACATCATACAAAATGATTGTTGTAACCACTGTCAGGAGGGAGTTAATCCTGACTACAGAGTTCAGTGTTATGACTGTAAAAACTATTTCCATGCGGTAGGCTGCACAGATGATTCCTATTGTGTTAGTGCCCCATCTAGCTTCACTTCCCATTTGGGACCAGCTGTTTCTAACACCAAGTCCTATGAGAAAAGATTTGGCAGATTCTTGTTCTTTTGTAACCATTGTATTACAGTTAAAGAGGAGATGACAGAGCAAAGCACAGGGGGAGCTACTAATGTTTACGTTGACAGAAAGATTGAGGAGTTAAAGCAGAATTTTGCTGAAGAACTGTCCGGTGTAAAAGAGATGCTTAAGGAAATCTTGCCAAGTAAGCAAAACAATGCTCTAGCAAAACCTCCAATGACTC